GCCGAGCGCCATAGCCTACTAGCATATATGCCCCACGCCGATTGTGACATTATTTCTGGCCTAACGGGCCAGCCCCTGGCCGTTCTGCCGAGCGTCCTGCCCTACCCGGCCCTGCTGCCACACTGCCGCCTGCCGCCCGCCCGGCCAGGGTACCGGTTGGCTTGTTTTGGGACGCCAAGGGAAGTGCACGGCGCCTCGCGTGCCTTTGCGCGTGCTGCGCGTGCTGCGCGCCCGGCCCGTACGCGTGAGTCTGCGTGCGTGCGAGCGGGTTGGCGAAAAGTGTATTACCAGGTGAACCAGAATCATCTTTGTGGTGTTGCTCTTTTTTCGAACCATACTTTCGAAGCGTACGGTACAGTCGTCACGAGAGGATAATTTTGTAACCCAAACGAAATGCTAGCAGCTACACTGGTTGACGGGTCGGCAAGGCAAGGACGTGCTGAATACTGTATCTCGCGCACCTGCGACCACTGCGGGTCGGGCTCATTTGAGTCGGGGGGAGGGGGGGGGGCGGAGGACATCTGCCCAGCCTGGCCAAGCCTGCGGCCAAGCCTGCGGCCAAGCCTGCGGCCAAGCCTGCGGCCAAGCCCTCCACCTCCACTGCAGTGAATGACATGCGCATGTTTCCCATGAGCTGAGCCACGGCCAGGACGAGGACGGCGCGGACGGCGAGGACGGCGCGGCGCTGCAGCGCAGGCCGATTCTGCGTGCAGCGTTCCGTCGATCCGTCTCTCTCGCACCTCCGCGGGGCGCCCCGCGAGTGCAACAGAGACGGAATCAGTCTGCTGCTGGCGGGACTGGCGGGGCTGGCGGGGCTGGCGGGGCTGGCGGGGCTGGCGGGGCTGGCGGGGCTGGCGGGGCTGGCGGGGCTGGCGGGGCTGGCGGGGCTGGCGGGGCTGGCGGGGCGGGTGGGGCGCGCAGAATCGGCGGCCGGGGAATTTACGGCGTGTTTTGGGGTGACTCGACGCGGACGACGACCACGACGACGACCGCGACGACGGGGCGAGGCGAGTGACAGCATTTTAGCGGGTCACTCCTGTTTATCACCGGCCAGTTCGGCGAGGCGAGGCGATAAGTTGTAAACATTTCTCTGGGGTCCCTGAAAAGCGGCGCGGGCGGTTTTGTCCGTTTGTCCGGCCAGGCGTCGTCAGGCACCAGGCCCGGTCGCTGCGCCGAGCTTCACCACTGCCAGCTCGGCCCGCACCGCTCGAGTCCCATTCTGGGCCCTTTCCACGACGCGCCAAAATGCCGGGCGTGCTGGCAGTGTGCTGGTGACGCGCAAGTACAAACCTCAAATGATTTGGCCATTAGTTTCGGGGCCCGCCATGAATGTGCCTCGTTGTGGAGGCTGATTTATTGGGCGTGGACAATGGCAGGTTTGCCGCTCGGACTGTACCGAGCAGTACGCCAGAGTGCAATGACACCCTTCATTTTGCACTGCGCTTTTTTATGGCCTCCGGGACGGAGTCTCGTACGGATCGCCGAAATAATCGGGGAGAAAGCCGTGCCGGTGGCGTGCCGGTGGCGTACCGTATGACCAGGGCGGCCGGCATGGCGGGCATGGCGGCCAGAGAGGGACTCCGGGGAGGCCCTGCCGCCCTGCCGTGGCCATGGCCGTGGCCCTGCATGGCGGAATGCCATCTCCAGGAAAGAACGGGTCATTCCCCGTCCCCGCTCCTCGTTTTTTTCTAACTGGATTCTGCTGGATGCTGCGCTTTGCAAGGGGGTTATGTTATTTTTGGCGCGGGCCGTCTTTGGGGGACAGTCTCATCTCGAAGCGAAGTGCGGTGCGATTCCAGACTCCACCCGCTGCTGCAGGCGCGGATACAGAAGGGGGGCAACGGGGTTTTTACCCCCCCCCCCATAGCCCCTAGATAGCCGCCTGAAAGGTAGGCAAAAAGTGCGACTTTGCCCCCCCCCATAAGCCGCCCCTGGATCCGCCTCTGCGCTGCTGTTTGGTTCCGCGCGGACCTCTTTCTCCGGCCGAACACTGCAGCGGGGATGGGGAAGTGCACCGCTCTGTCTGCCTCGCACTCCTGCGGGACGTCCCGTGAGTGCGAGGCAGACAGAGCGGTGGAAGCACTGTCCGGAATCAGCCTGCTGCTGCTGAGCCTCCTCATCAGGCTGATTGTCAACCTGCACCGGCTCGGCACCTCGGCCGCCGCCGCCTCGGCCGGGCCTCGTGCGGTAGGTCACCTTGAGTGGGTGGTCAGCCAGAAGGCCAGAAGACGGGCAGGACAGCCGCGCCGCCGTGACAGCGGCGACAGACCGGCGGCGACGGCAGCGGCAGCCTGCAGCGGCGTAGCCAGCGTCCAGAAGGCCCCGGGGAGGGAGGGGAGGGGGAGCCGTTGGACGCCCTGCCTTTTGCTGATTGAACGAGAACGGTGCGCCTGCCTGCCTGCCTGGCCGCTGGCCGTGCCGCGACACTCAGGTGCCATGAAATCGAACCCCTCCGGCCCAGCGAGGCAGCGAGGCACAGCAGAGGTCGCGGAAGAGAAACTCGCGGGAAATAAATAACTTTGGGAATCGGCGGCATCGACACATAGCGGCGAGCGCGAGGCCTTGGGCGAGGCGCGACGCGCAGCTGGAAAATTGCGAACGCCTCGATGGCGGCGACGCCCTGGCGGCCCTGGCGGTGACGCCACGATGCTCACGGTGTCCGACGAGGTGTCCGACGAGGTGTCCGATGACGATGTCCGATTCCGCCTCATTTTTCGCGGTCACTTCCCTCGCACCTGTGGGCCGGTGCCGCGCCTGTGCGCGCAGCGTGGTTTCCGGCACGGCGGCCCTGCCTGCCCTGCCAGCCCTGCCCCAGGTTGCTGCTCTGTCTCTGTCGCACTCGCGGGGCGCCCTCACTGGGGTTCGGCCTGCTGAGCTGGGTGTCGGCGTGTCCGGCGGATTGCCTACTGCCTGGCCCCGCCGCCCCGACGCTGGCTTGGCCTCGCTCGGCCTCGCTCGGCGTGCACCGAGGCGCTTTCGTCGCCCGCAGCCTCGCGGTCCTCGTCTTCGTCACCGCCGCGGTGACGGCGCTCCGGATGCGAGGGCAAACGGAGTCGATGTATCTAGGCTACATCCGGCTACATCCGCTTCCAGGACTTCCAGGGGCGACCCCGCAGATCCACTTGGCGCTGATGAAGAGCCGCCCTTCCCCTTCCCCTACCCCTCTCCGCGGTGTGCCACGGCATGCGGTGAGGGGTACTTCCACGGCGACTGGGTCGCTGCCAACCAGTGCCCCGCCGGGCAGCCCCGGTACGGTAGGCTGCGTCCGAAGAGTGCTTTCGTCGCTCTGTCTCTCTCGCACTTATGGCCCGCCCCGTCAGGTGGCGAGAGAGACAGAGCGACGAAGCGCCGTTCGGAGTCGAGCAACGGTGGCTGGTTGCGCCAATGACCGGTAATGGTCGAGGCAGCAAGCAGTACCACCAGTGTACCACCCCAAGGGCCTCATCCCCACCAGGCCCTCCGTGACTCCGGCGCCAGCTCGCCGCACTGGGATTTGGCCCTCCATACTCTTGGTGTACTCCCAACTCCCTGCACTCCCCGCTACTCCCCGCTACTCCCCGCTACTCCCCGCTACTCCCCGCTACTCCCCGCTACTCCCCGCTACTCCCCGCTACTCCCCGCTACTTCCCGCTACTCCCCGCTACTCCCCGCTACTCCCCGCTACTCCCCGCTACTCCCCGCTACTCCCTGCTCCGGCGGCACGTTCGCGTCATTACGTGGGAATGCCGAGGGGCACCGAGTGGCGGCGCGCGGCGCGCAAAACGAATCATAATGGGAACAGTTTCTGGAGACTGATTCCGCACTCTACCCGTCTCTCTCGCACGGGCACCACGCCCCGTGAGTGCGAGAGAGACAAGGCGATGGTGGCAAAGGAGGCGTAGCTGTAAAGGCCGAGTGGACCGCATGTGTGATTCGCAGTGCCGCAGTGCCGCCCTGGTGCCGGCACTGGCAGTGGAGACGGGGCGGGGCGGAGCCTTCCCTCAAAGTTCAACAGCCGAAAACCAAATGACTCGATACCGGGGCGTAGCGGCGTCGCTGTGAAGGCGGTGCGGCCGGCGTGCGCGCGGCGCGCGGCCGACATCAAGAGGCCCTCGACGGCGGCCAAGCCTCGGCCAAGTGCCGACGGCATGCGACGCGCAGCCGGGCGCAGCGGCGCAACCCCCTCGTCCACCAAGCACTGCGTCAAGTCCAGTCCCAGTGTGTGGGCCGCATGGCCAACCCGGGGGAGGGGGAAGGGGTCTGCTAAAGTGCCCGCGCTGCGTTGGGCGCGGCGGGCGCGGCGTTCGATTGGTCGGTCACTCAATCGCGAGAACACATGGTGAAGGAAGGGGAGCATCCTTGTAAACTTGTTTCATTTGAGCCCGGCCCGCTGGGGCCCGCTGCTGGGCTGCTGGGTCTCTGGAGATCATTCACCCGCTGCTCCTGTTCGGCCGTTCGGCCCAGTCCTTCCTGGTTCCGGGGGTGGGGCGGCGGGGCGCGCTGATTCGGGGGTGGGGGCAGCCAGGTCGGACTCCAGTCGGACTCCAGGCGGACTCCAGGAGAATGTATAGGCAGGGTGGTTATGGGCGGTCACTGTGGTCTTTTAGGGACACTGGAGGGGGCCGACAAGGGGCACATCGGCCTGCCCGCCACCACGGCCCGCCACCACGGCCCGCCACCACGGCCCGCCACCACGGCGGTAGACGCGGTGGCCCGCCTGGCCCGCCTGGCCCGACACGCCCCGCCCGGCTGGGCCATGCCCGGCCATGCCTCTCGACTGCACTCCGCCCCACCCCACCCTACTCCTGCTCCACTCTCCACTCCTTGCCTCCGCTCCGCACTCCGCGCTCCGCCCGCTCCTCTCCACTCAGTCGCTCGCCAGCACGCCGTGCACGCCAGCTCTCCCAGTGCGCGGCTTGGTGGCGCAGCGCTACGCAGCAGGGCTGGACGAACACACGCCAGGACACGAGCGACGTGCACGCGACACACACGCGGCGCGGACACGCGTCGACGACGCCGTCGAGCGACACAGTGACATGGTGCTGGGCGTCTGCTGCGAGGCCGAGGCCAACCCCGACGCGGCGCTCGCCACGGCCTTAGCCCTGGCCGTGGTCGACTGTGACGGCGCGAGTGACTCTGGGCTCAGCGGCGTCAGTGTGGGCATTAGCGACGCGGAGGCCGTGACCGACGCCGCCGAGGCCGCCAGGATGATCGACGAGCCGGCCTCGCTGTCCCGACTGCAGTATAACGTCCTCCTCGCCGACAACATGTGAGTAGTGATCGACGCCCTGATCCTGGACGTCCTGGACGCCCTGGACGCCCATGTCCCAGTGTCCTGCGTGGCGCCAAGACTCTGGATAGCTCGCCCCCATCGTGGTCGTGCCGGTGGCGTCGGTGTCACTGGCAGGTTGACTGCGAGTCGCTCTCCAGGACCTCCCTGTGGCCGCGGCGCCGCGGCCCGCCGACTTGTAGCCAGAGTGGTGCACCCGCTGCGCGTGCTGCGCGTGCTGCGCACACCGGACAAAATTCGCCCGGCACCGTCTGCGACGAGTACGTAGCGAGGAGTGTCGAGGAGTCCCAGGCCCAGGCCGGCCACCTTCTCGCACCCGCTCGCGTGCGGGTCGCATAGGCTAGCATAGGCGGGCCGTGTGGGGCTGGCTGGTTGGCTCGTTGGCGTTATTGGCTTCATTATTGTGCAACAAGTCGGCGCCGCGTCGCCTTGCCGGCCGCGTCGCCTTGCCGGCTTACGCCTTGCCCGCCTTGCCGTGCAGTGGGTGGGCTGGGCTGCCGTACAAGTGCCGCAAATTTTGTGCTCCACTGCCATTTCACCAAGTGCCAACCTTATCGCAAGTTTTTGGAAAAATGCCCTCACATGTTTTGCACCAACATTCTTCTTGCTAAATGTCTCAATGAAATTGGAAACATTAGCCATGAGTCGTGAGGATCGCAAACTCAGATTGTCGCGAAGGTGTCGATAAAATGAATCACAGTGCTTTGTTCTTTTCTTGAGTGTGTCCACGTAGCTGTCAAAATTTGCAGATTTCATTTTTGGTGACACTGACACTACACTCTTGGTCGGTGCCGGGGTGAAGGGAGGGGTCCTGTGGAATCTGGCATAGGGTCGATGGGCTCCGCCGGCTCCGCGACCAAGTCGACGAAGTGGAGCGACTGGGCCGCTGGAGTAGGGCACTGGAATCTCGACTCCTCCAGCGGGCCGTCGTTGTGATGCAGGCCTTTCTTTGCCATTTGGGACGCGGCGGGACGCGGCGGGACGCGGCCACCTAGATGCGCCACTGCACCTGCAGCAGCGCGGTGCAGCGCGGTGCAGCGCGGTGCAGCGGCCCAGAGACGCGGCGCGCTCGCAGCGGGCTGACCTTGATTTGGCCGTCCTGGCCTGACCCACATTTGAAAATGGTATCACTATCGCCGGCCGGGCAGACCGGGCAGCCAGCCGCGTTGCGGCACGCCAGGCCGGCAGGCCCTGCAAGGACGGAAGTGCAGCGAGGTAGTAAAAGGCAGCGCCGCGGCGGGGCGGGGCGGGGCGGGGCGGGGCGGGGCGGGGCGGGATTGCACCTTTATTAGCCCCGGAGAGTGGAGCGCCCAGAACGCCCCGGAACGCCCCACCGCGCCAGTCGCACCGAGTCCATCATGCCGTGGGCAATGAGAGGGATGCCGCGGGTCGCGACGGGACGGGCCGTGTTTGCTGGCCGAGGACAAGCAGCGCCTGTTTTTGCCCACCGAAACGACGGCCACCTGCAGGCCCGCACCGCCTGCAGGACTCACTGGCACACTGGCAGGACGGCCACGGGGTGTACTAATGGCACTGGGGCCGGGGCGGCCCTGGGGCGGCCCCGGGGCGGCCGAGGCGTGGCGTTATGGCATTGAAATGCGCGCGGCGAGGACATGCCGGTAACGGGTCCCGGCCCCCTCCCCCACGCCCCACGACGCCGTGCTCGCCGTGCCGGCCGTGCCCAACGCCCCCGTGTCCGTTCTGCATACGATGTGGGACAGGGGTGGGGCAGGCGGCCCGGCCCGGGCGGACCGGGCCGGGTGGGGGATGGTGGGGGTTGACCTGGACGTGCTTAATTGGTTTGTGTTACATTCCCGCGGCCCTCGGCATGGCCTGGAGTCCAGCCTGGAGTCCAGCCTGGACTTGGTGGGCAGGACGTCCCACTGCCGTACTGGACGGACGGACCCACTCCAGCGCCGCGCTAGTCTCGCTAGCCGCACTAGCCGCGCTCCAGTGCGAGGGGTGAATCACTCAGCGTTTAGGTGTACACATGAGTACGTGAGTACAGGTGAGTAAACCTGATTATACTCACAAATTGGGCACATTGTTAACGTTTTTACGCCTTTTTGGCGTTTTAAACAGAAATCAATACCGATTCCTGGACAAATCAGGTTATTTTCGCTCTTTTATAATTTGTGAGTACACTGAGTACGGACGAATGTGTACACATGAGTACACTAGTGATTCACCCCTCGCTCCAGTGCCCCTCGCTGCCCCCGCGTTTCCTCGCTGTCGCCCTGTCGCTGTGGGTCGGGTCGCGGACTTGACCACGGCCGGTCTGCGCGGCCTATGGAAGGATGGGGAGGGGGAGAGGTTTGTTTACATGCCGCCGCGAAGGACGCAGGACTCCCGGTGTAGTGGCATCAACCCCATCAACCCGAGCACCAACCTGTGGCACTCCAGCAACAACGGCTGGACAACGGGGACCTCCTCGACTCCTCGACGGGGACCTACTCTGCGTGGCAGCCGTCCGCAAGAGTCGCCGCGGATGTGGGTCAGAGTCAGAGGCGGCGGATTGGATGGCATTGATCTGGTAATCATGCGCCATGCGACTGACGCGACGCGCTCCTTCGGCCTCCGCGGCCCTGCGGCCCGGCCTGTGGCTCCGCCGGGACGACCCGGTTATCAGCCTGCTTGGGCGGGGCGGGCGCGGCGGGCGCGGCCCTCAGACGTAGCGGGGCGGGGCAGGGCAGGGCCGGCAGGGCAGGGCCGGCAGGGCAGGGCCGGCAGGGCAGGCGGCGGCCGAGTCCAGGGCAGGAGGACAGGCCAGCCGGCTGGCCGGGTCGGGCAGGGCAGGGGTTCAGATGCAGATAGGTCTGGACTGGAGCCTGGCCGTGGTGGCGGCGTCGAGGCAGGTCGTTGCCCCTGACCGTGCCTTTGCCGCCTGTGCCCTGCCTGGGCCATGGTCTGCGGTGGCGGTGGCGGTGGCCCTACCCGCCGAGGCCCGGCCTGGCCCAACGGCGTGCCCTACTGACGCGCTAACGCTACATCGGGGCCCTTTGGCTGCCAGCCCTGCCTGTCCGGCCCGTCGGCTGGCCTGCCCCTAGCCTGCCCCTGGGGCTGCCGGCTCGGCGTCATGGCAGTGCACTGCGGTAGGCCAGTGTCGTGTCGGCCAGGTGACGTGCCGGTGACGTCCCACAGGTCCTGCAACCCTTCCTGTCGCACGGCCTTTGGAAGTACAGTAAAGTATTTGTCCGTGCGTCAGTGCGCCGCCCCGCCACCCCCACCGCGCGTCACCGTCACCCCCGCCGCGCCACCACACGCCACGCCCTGTTCGCGCGGATTTCTGTCTTCCTCGAAGTCCAGTCCAAGGGAACCCTCTTGTGGCAAGGGACCTGTGAGCGCTCGGTCTGCTCTGCTCGCAGTCCGGGAAGGGAAGGCGGGCCGTTCCTCTTTCCAGGACACGGCACTGCACTGCAACTGCACTGCAACTGCACTGCAACTGCACTGCAACTGCACTGCAACTGCACTGCAACTGCACTGCAACTGCACTGCAACTGCACTGCAACTGCACTGCAACTGCTCGGCACCACGAGGAAGCGCGCAGCCATCGCAGTCAACGCAGCCAACGCAGGCACCCCGCCTTTTCGCGCCGATTTCAAAATTGATGCTCCTTTGCCGGACGGGTGAACGGACGGGTGTGCCTGGACGGCGTCGTTGGGCCCAAGGCCCCCGCCGCGCCACTGCCCCGGGCGCGGCGCGCAGCCTTCCCGGCCTTCCCGGCCCTGCACGCGATGCGGCGCGATGCACGCTTCACTGTGCTTTCCTTCGCTGTCTCTCTCGCACTCGTGAGGCTTCCCGTAGGGGTGCGAGTGAGACAGAGCGCTGTTCGGAACGAGCCTGCTGCAGCTCACGTGTGTGCAGGCTGCACGCGGGCCCGGAGCGCGGCGCGGCGCGCGCCGTCAGGTTTACGGTCAGCGGGTTAAGTGCCGCGCTGACCCCAAAGGCCTAAAGGCGAGCTCAAGTCTGGAGGAGGCCGAGGGACTTCGACGGCGACGGCCATGTCGGGCGCCTCACGGTGGTGCAGTCTGATTCCGCCGCCCTGTCTCTCTCGCACTCATGGGTCGTTCCGCCAAGACAGAGCACTTTTCGGACTCGCCCATCAGCTCGCGGCTCGCGTCCACACGGCGCCGTGTTCCAGCCGCGCCGTGCGTTCAAGTTCCCGCGCTTCGCCGCTCCGCCTGCCCGGCGTTGCATAAGCACGCGCTTCCCGACGGGCCGCCTGGCTCTGCCGCCTGGCGGGCGCAGGGCCGATCCCCTCCAGCTCGTTGATGTTGTTGTTGTTTGTTGAGGTTCAAAGGGCGCCAGGCAATTTAGCGCGAAAACCTTTTATCGTCGGCTGGCCCTTTCCCTTGAGCGGGTCGCTGGCCGTCACAGCGTCCGGCCTGGCCTGGTCGGCCGCCTGGGAGCGCTGCACCATGCTGCACGCCTGCACGCGGTGCGAGCCTAGAGCCCCCCGGGTGTTATGCTCGGGCCAGCGAGGGCAAGCGAGAGCCGCAGAACAAGCGTGTCGAGTTAGTTAATCCTCTTAGTGTGCAAACACAAAGCGGCCCAAGCGGCTCCGTGGCTCCGTCGTGCCCGGTCAGTCTGTGTGGAAAGGAGAGAGTGGTGGGGGGCACGGGCGATACTGTACGTTGTCATGGATGTCATGTCAAAGCTTTTCCCCCAGCATCCACGAACTGTTTATGTACGTTTTCTCTCTCTTTTCGGGGGAAGGGGGGAGGTCGGGCTCTCTGCTACGCCCAGAATTGATGGAGCCCACCGTCCCTAATAATCAGCGAGTACCGCGAGTGCAGCGCGACAGTGTGACAGCCGTCCGCCCGGCCCGCCGTTCCGCGAAGGCGACAATGGACCGAGGCCACTCTCTGATCCTTGAATTTGAAGCTCCGGCCGCTCAAGGTTCACTGGGTTCACCAACCCCTCTTCGGAACGCCTCCCGTCTCGCTGCCCTTTTGGCAGAGTACTTTGTTGGTGGCGGTCCGCGGCCCGAGACACGTACCCGGTACCGGCCGGACCAGTACAGGAACAGGGCGCACTTATTCGAAACATGCCCCACAGTCCGCGCATGCCTCGACCGTCACGCCAGGCAGCGCCAGGCCCGGCCAGGCCTCGGCCCGAGTTTAGCGGTCCACGGGCGGGGCGGGGCGCCGCGCCCGCTTCGGAGAAGGCAATCAGGCAGGCCCTCTGGGACACTCTGTTCCAGCTGTACCCTGTGCACGTCGCTGTGGCTGTGTTTCCTGCGTGCGCTCATGATCGAATCGGGCACCGCCATGGCACCGCCATCGCACCGCCATGGCACCGCGGCGCGCGACGCTCCCAACGCCAGCCCGCTGCCCAGCGCCTCGGCGTCGCCAGCGTCGCTCCAGTGCCTGCCCCAGTGGCCGCTGGCTGCTGCTGCCGCCTGCCCCAGTGCACCCAGTGCACTCAGTGCCCAGTCCTGCGACTGCGATTGCAGCGCGGCGCATTGGAGTGCATTGCTGACATGTCTCTGCGTGCCGCGGCGCAGTGCGCATGCGCGCAGACATAACAACCCTGCATCGCCCTGCATCGCCCTGCATCGCCCTGCATCGCCCTGCACGCAACGAGCAGCGGGCTCACTCCGAACCGCGTTTTCGTCGCCCTGTCTCTCTTTCTCCCTCTCTCTGCAGGCTGATTCCGAGCACCGCTTCCATGGTCGTCTCTCTCACACTCATGGGGAGTCCCGCGAGGGAGCGAGAGAGACAGCGACGAAAGCACTGCTCGGAATCAGCGCGCAGGGCGTTTCGTCGGGGCGAGAGAGAGAGAGAGAGAGATGAAAGCCCTGTTGGGCTTGCGCCGATATCGCCATTATACCGGGATAAACGCTGCTCGTGTCACGCCGTGCGTCCGCGTGCGTCCGCGTGCGTCCGCGTGCGTCCGCGTGTGTCCGCGTGCGTCGAGGCGGACGGTCGTGGCGAGCGACTTGCCTTGCCGCGTGCCTCTTACTGTACTGAGCGCTCTGGGAGCGTCGCGCCGTCGTGCATCTTCGGTGATGTCACCAGCTGGTTAATCAGCATGGATCAAGGCGGCCGGTGCTGGTGGCGCCCGCGCCCGCGGCCCTCGGCGCCACACGGCGGGGCGGGGCGGGGCGCATGCACAATGCACAATAGGTGCTTGCGGCCGGCACTGCTCGTGAAGGGCGGGGCGGGGCGGGGCGCCGAGCCGTGGTGGCCCGCCACTGGAAATCACAGCCGCGGGATGCTGTACAGTAGTACATATTGGCGCCACTCTGCACTTTGCAAAGTGGGCCGTTTCGGTCGCACCAGTGCACCAGTCAGCCGTACCACTGCCGCCGCTGCCGTTTCCCGCGACCGGCTCAAGGTTGTTTGTTGTTGTTTTCGTTCCCACCTTGTTGTTGTTGTCGTTGAAATGCACGTTCAACACACCGCCAGCAGCCCTTTGCTTTCACTCGGCGTAGGGGTAAGTCTACGCAAGACTCCTCTCCATTCACTGCCCCTCCCCCCGGGGCGCCGGGCCGCCGGGCGACCGAGCCTCTCCCTCGGCGCGTCGCCTTGTCTTATCCGCGGCCGAGAGGCAGCATGACTCAGGGCGTACAAAGCGCACCGCGGCGTGGCGCGGCGTGGCGCGGCGTGGCGTTGTGTTGTGGTGCAGCGCGGGTTCGTTGAACCGCCCCAGGCGGCCCCAGGCTTGTCATCGCGTCGCGGCGTCGCGGCGTCGCGGCCGGGAGGAAACGGGTGTCGTCGCTGTGTGATGTAACCGAAAAAGGATCGTGATGCCCGAAGTGCCCGAAGCCCGAAAACGTGACGGACGGACACACGGCGTGACGCGTGTGTGACACGGCGTGTCGCCTCGTGACGCGCGGACGGCCGTTGCGGCCGGCGTGTTGCGTCACCGCGTCGCGTCACGGTCCGTCCGGAAACAATTGGGCGGCGCGGGATTGGCCTATTGACGCAAGGGAAAGGGCGGCCCAGCGCGCCCAGCGGCGTGTCTCTGTCTCTCCCGCACTCGTGGGGCGCTCCGCTATCCGTCGCGGAGCGAGAGAGAGGGACAGACGGCGACTCGGAATGAGCCAACAGTCCCTGCCCTAGGTTTGTTGGGCCCTTCCCTTCCCTTCCCTTCCCTACGGTTCTCCGCGGGTCCGCGAGGGCCGCGGTGTCGCAACGGAGAGCCCGGAGAGCGTGCTCGCCCGAGCCATGCTGGATGGGTGGCCTGCCCGCCGGGCGCTGGGCCTCGCGGCCGGCCCACCCCAGTGACGCCCACGTCGTCGGCGTGCTCACTTTCTCTGTCTCTCTCCAACCGCTAATCCTCGTCCTCCTCCGCGTGTCTGCAGGTCCGAGGTGGCTGGCGGCGCGCTGCACTGCCCGTTCCTGCTGGAGCAGGGCGAGGCCCACCTCACGGGCACGCGGCCCCTGGAGCTCGTCTTCAGCGGCCTCAGCGTCTCCGTGGCCTCCAGGAGCATCCTCCGCGACGTGTCGGGCGTGGTCCGCCCGGGCGAGATGCTCGCCGTCATGGGACCCTCAGGTGAGTCCACAGTCGGGACGCACTCCGAGTGCAGCGGCTGCAGCGGCGAGGTGTCGAGGATGTGTGCACAAAGGGAGAGAAAGTCGAAAGGAATCTCTTTTGTCGTCTATTGGTGCACCTGTCGTGCCGTCGTGCGGGACGGCGACGTGGCTGGCCGGGCTGGCCGGCGTGAACGCGCTACGCGTCGCTACGCGCTCAACGCCCCCGGCAGCAGGCTATCACGGCCAACAGCGTTTCGTCGCCCTGTCTCTCTCTCTCTCTCTCTTTCGTGGGGCCTCGGCCTCGCGTAGGGGTGCGAGGTGAGAGAGACGGAGCTACGAAGCGCTGTTTGGACCGGGCTGCGCTCGCGCTTGGACGCCGTCGTGACGGTCAGGCCGCGGGCAAGCCGCGCGAACGCGAACCGCGGCGGCAAAACAGATCTCGCCGGCGAATATCCATGTCACAATCATCCTGGCCGCTGCGCGCGGCGCGCTCCGCGCTGCTGCGAGGCGGAGGCGGGGGAGGGGAGGGGAGGGGATCGGTGCGAACCGCGTCCAGCGACCAGTTACTGTAGCTCCATTTCGACTCCGGCGGCGCGCCAGGGCGCGGCCAGGGCGGCCAGTCGGCCAGTGCGTCCCCAGCACCACGTTTTCGGCTCGGGAGGGCGTTGACCTGCTTGGGTCGGCTGCTCGAGACGCGGAAACAGTTGCTTTTAATTGCCCGCATTGAATGAGTAATATATCGCTTGATGGGCGGAGCGCGGAGCGGTCGGGGAGGGGCGGGGCGGCGTAGCGGCGGTGTGAACGACCGAAGCGATGTTGGGACAGGCCAGGACCCGGTCCTGCGAGGCGCCTTGCCGCCTTGCGAGGCCCCGCCTTGCGAGGCCCCGCCTCGCCGCGCCCAATTGAGCCAGACGAGTAGCGAGTGGCGAGTGGCCTACCCGACTGGATGCCGCCAGCTGCCACTCTCAGCTGTTCGGTTCAACAAACCCGAGGCGCCCCAGCCTCTGCGAAAATCTTATATCCTCCCCGCTCCTCGAAACCATTTGAACCGATAATGTGACCTAGATTGAGCGGCATGCCAGTGAGATGAATGTTGCTTTTCTTTGACCGCGCGTTGTTGTTGCTCTCCACAGGCTGCGGCAAGACCACCCTCCTGAACTGCCTGTCGGGGCGCACCGAGCTGGACTCGGGCTGCATCCGCCTGAACCGGGAGCGCCTCACCAAGCGGTGGAAGCGGCGCATCTGCTACGTGCTGCAGCAGGACATCTTCTTCCCCGACCTGACGCTGCGCCAGACCCTGGAGTACGCCGCGCGGCTCCGGCTGCCCGAGTCCATGTCGCGCCGCCAGAAGATGATCTACGTGGACCACATCATCGACGTCCTCGACCTGAACGCGTGCCAGGACACGAGTAAGTGCGTCGCCGCCCCCATGCTCGTCCTGCAGGCGACGCCGGTTCTGTTCTAATTGACGGTCTTTTGTTCCTCCAGGGATGGGCGACTACACAAAGCGAGGGTTGTCCGGCGGCGAGAAGAAGCGGGCCAACATCGCGTGCGAGCTGCTCACCAACCCGGCCCTCATGCTGCTGGACGTAAGTAGGGCCACGAACCCGCCAGGCCGCCACACAGTGGGACCCCGCCAGAAGACCGGCGAGGCGGCCAAAATCCTGGACGCCTTTTGAGCTCTCAGTCGCTAAATGGGACCCGAACCGAACGTGTGTCCCCACCAATGGATTGCTCTCCGAACGAGGAATCCATCGGTGGGGTCACGCGCTCGGTTCGAGTCCTGTTTAGTGACTCTGGAGCCAACGCGTCTAAAGTTTTGGCCGCCTTCACCGGTCCTCTGGTGGGGTCCCACTGTGCGCCATCGCTTCATGGTCGACAACAGCCCCAGCTCAAACCGTCCTGTTTCTCACCAGGAGCCGACCTCGGGCCTGGACTCCCACTCGGCCTACATGCTCATGTCGAGCCTCAAGAGGTACGCGGAGAAGGAGAGCAAGACGCTGGTCGTCACGGTCCATCAGCCCTCCTCGCAGATCTTCTACATGTTCGACAAGCTGCTGCTGCTGTGCAACGGCCAGACCGCCTACTTCGGCGAAGTCAACAAGGTGGTCGACTTCTTCAACAACATCGGCCTCACCGTCACCCCGCACTACAACCCCGCCGATTTCATCCGTGAGTACACTCAGACCGCGGCGGCGCGAGGCGGCGCGAGGCGGCAGCAGGAGCAGGAGGCTGGGAGCGCCCGACGGGTAGGCAGCCCAACGTGCGCCTCCAGCCCACCGGCTGTTTCTAACATTTCCATATTTTGCAGTGGAATGCGTCAAAGGGTCGGAAGAGATGAAAGAGAAAATTGTGGCCGCCGCGAAGACCGTGCAGTCGTATCAGCAGGAGTCACTCAACGACTACTGCGCGCTGCCCGGCCACCTGTACCAGCACCAATGCAACGGCAGGGTGCCCATGGTGCCCCACGGCCACACCGCCCCCAGCCCCCCCTGCGACTTCAGCAAGCCCTCCCTGTGGACGTCCACGCCAACCTCCAACGGCAACCTCACCGCACCCAACGCCGTGTCCCTGACCACCAAGTGCGTCGTCTCCAACCACAACAGTCACAATCTCAGCAACCACGTGTATTCCACAATAGGTGAGCGTCATCACAAAAAAAATAAATTAAAAAAATAGGGAAATGATTCTTTTTTTTTGTGTGCTGTTGTATCTTATTGGGCTATCCTCGTTTTGTTTCAGTCAAAGATGAAGAAGGAAAGTCCTTGTGGCTTGATAGTCAAAGTCATGGCTCCTCATCAGTGAGTAGCACTACGGATGATGATGTTCGGTGGCAGTGGCCAACCGGCTTTTGGACTCAGTTCAAGGTTTTATCATCAAGGAATTTCCAAGAATCAAGACCGAGAATGCTATCAAAGCTTTACTGGCTTCAAACCATTGGTCTAGGTCTTATGGTTGGAAATGTATACTTTCAATTGGATCGGAAAGAGGAATCTCTCCATGATATTCAATCTTGGATGTTTTTCTCAACAAATTACTGGATGCTGTTTGCACTTTTTAATGCCCTATCATCATGTAAGTGCCCTTTTTAAAATCAAATTGCATTTGACCTTCTGTTTTTGTTTCATGTGTTAATTTTTTGCTTTTGGTTTTCTTTCCAGTTCCCGCTGAGCGAGAAGTTGTAAACAAGGAGAGATTATCTGGTTCATATCGTTTGTCAGCATATTACTTGGCAAAAATGGTCGGTGAATTGCCACTAACTATGACATTACCAGCAGTCTATCATATAATATCATACCCATTGTTCGGGTTTCAATCATTCTCTGTATTCCTTACAATGCTAGGGTTTCTTTTGCTGAGTACCGTTGTTGCTCAGGTAAGATTCACAGTATTTCCACTTCTGACCTTTCAGACAAAAAATAAAATAAAAAAAATAAACATGATTAAAGTTTAACTCCCCATTTTTTCCCTTTTTTTGCAGAGTGCTGGCTTCTTTGTTGGTGCAGCATGTATGGACTTGGATGTGGCAATAACAATATCAGCCCTTTACACATTGGCAACTCAGCTCTTTGGTGGATATTTAGCCACAAATATTCCTTCATGGTTGAGATGGATGAGGTACCTTTCTATGGTGCATTATGCCTACCAGAACATGCAGATTGTGGAGTTTAGTGGAGAGCCAATTAGGTGAGAATCTTGCTCTTGAACTCAGGAATAACATTTTAGCTGACTTTAGTGTACATATTTCTTGCTTTTTTTAAATTTTAGAACTATATTTTAAGCAATGCATTAACTGTTTATTTTTGTTTCAGGTGTGCTGCACAATCAAAGTTTGAAGTTTGTTCCAAAGTTAATGGTACCATTCCAGTGGATGTTATTATGGAGCAACAAGGTGCCACATTATCGCTCTGGGCCAACACTCTAGTGCTGCTATTTTTCTTGGTGATATTTAGGGTGCTGGGCTATGTTGTGCTTCGTTACTTTAGACAACCAAAATGAGATAATATTCTGCTACCTAGCGAACAAATAAATTTCTCAGTTCCAAATTTTTTGAGATGTATTTTGTGACTGTCTGCAATTCAAAAGATTTCATTTTGGGCTGCTTCGATGTGTGCCACCATAACAACTCGTTGTGTTTTGGTGGTTATTGTTAAGGCTTGTGGACTGGAAAATAATGTTAAAAATATAGATTGGCTGTGTTGTTAACTGTAATATTATTATTTTATTTTGTACAAGTTCTCCACTGTTTGATATCCATATTTCACTTAGTGATTTCATATTTTAAGGAGTCTGATTCGTAGTTTTAATTAGTTAAATAGTATATCACATAACAAATTTGTGTGCTAGCACTGGGTATTCAATGCTGTGCAAGAACATTTTATAATTGTTGCTTCTTTCATTTGTGTAAATGAGATTGTGTGAATGTGTAATTTTAAAATGAGTGATTGCAAAGTGTGAAGTGGAATTGAAAGTTTTTAAAACCTGCTTGAGAGCCTATCCTTAAGGCAAAATCTTTCATATGCCATTCCTTTAAGCAATACTTGGTATTATTTCATTTCGCCTATAACTTTGGTTAATATTGTGTGGCTCCTTAATTTCATACGCAGACACTATTGTCAGATGTTGAAAATGCCTATGCCAGAGAGAAGTTTTTTTTTTTTTTCTGTCTTCCCATTAATTAGTTTTCCATCTGAAAAACTCCTGTTTTCTACTAGTGATTTGAATGCCTGCCTGCCATGAAGTCAGATATTTATTGTTGTGTATCATTTGCATATAAACGTATTAGTGGCGCTGTCGGCAGAATTCAGTTCATTATTTTTAAAAAGTCTTATATACAATAGCATATGTGTACATTCTGTCAACCACAGCCACAAATAGTCTCTAATTTTTTTTTAATCCTTTGACTTTGATATTCTTAGAAAATGTGATAGTTTTTCATCTTTTCAAAGTTTGTTTTAAGGATGAATGATTGTAACCTGTTTATGAAAACCTTGCTGACAATCAACGATACAACCGATACATGCATGGCACCTATATTTGTTTTCTTTGTTAAAATTTGTTGTTGTTTTTTTTTGTTAAATCCAAACACATGTTTGTGTTGTTAGACGTATATTCACGCATCTGGCACTTCCAGTCAACAAGGTAATAATTATGGTTCATGTGAATGTGGAAGGTCTACTCTCTTATTGCAAATGCATGAAATCAGTTAGCACTGTGTTGCATTTTTTTTTAGTCACTTATGGCAACATCAGTATGTAGTGCATAAATATGCTTTCTTTAGTGCATATCTTGCAGGAGTTTTCTAATCTTAAAAAAATATTATAAAATCATAAAACAAGAATAGACTTTCGTTGGTGCTAGTGCACATTTGTTACCTTCTTGCAGAAGACGAAAAATATAGAATACTTATATGTGTTATGAATAAAATGTACATATGTATTATAAAAAAAAGAATGAACACTAACTTTCAAAATGTTGACGTCTACCTATCTGACCAACTGTTTTTATGCTATGATGGGAGTTTTGTCATGTCTGTATCATTGTGATCTCTACAGAAAATTTTGAATTTGGTCTATGAATTTCTTTTAAGTAAAAACTAAGGGACCTTTACTTTATTTTGTAACAATCATTTTGAGACTTTTCAATCAATTTTATTGTGGTTGGCCTTTCCTTGCCAAACCGTGAACATGAGGGGGAACAAGTGCACATTTCATAAGACATGCATGAATCCACTGCCATAAAGTGACAAACCAACTCAAGAAATTGCAAAGAAAAAATAAATTTGTTCTCGGTTATTGATGACCGACACCAAAAACTGCAGTTGTTTCCCCCTCGAGTCAACATTTTGAAATAACCACTATGATGGTGAAGGATACTTGTGATACTTTGATTGCAAATCACTCTTTGTAAACATTTGCTATGTTTGCAAGATGTGTAGAATTAATGAGCAAGAGGAATGTCACAAATTGATTTGCTGGACCAACACTATCAACTGATGAGTAATGTGTAACAGAATATTAAAAGGTAATTTCTTCCCATGCCTTCCTAAACGTGTTCAGGCTACCACTTTGAAAGATGTATTTGCTCCTTTTCAGTAAAAAAGAACCTTCATGGAGGTATGTCTCTTTTTTTTTGTTTTCAAAAGATTTCATCTTTCTTTAGTGGTGGCACTTTCATAACATGATCCATCCATGTTATGTCTTTTTATTCTCTTGTTCCAATGTCTTTCATATCAGTCCTTTTGAAATTGATAAAGAAGTCAACAGGCGATGTGTATGAAGTGAGGGGCAAAGGGACTATACAACTGCCATTCTGGAAGAAACTGGATAATTCCATGTGTACTTTGCACTGCCAAATATATGGACACTATCTTCTATGTGTGTGTTTTTTAAATATTATATATAAATATGTGTAATTATTGGACTTGCGTGTCATACTTGTGACTTTCTTGAGCACAGATTGTTCTTCCAGAATTTATCTGTACTATCCCTAGCCATCATTTTACCTTTGTATACTGTTAATATAATGATGAACTGTTTTTCACTGATAGTTTCCACCTTAGCAAAGTGTATCTGAAAATTGACATTGTATTTATATATGTGTGATAACATTAATAAATTACAATATTCCAAGTGACTTTACTTTGGAGATAAATTTATTTTGGCTGTCGTTTCTATTCCAATACAATTCTCATGCCCTCTGCGGACACGAATGGACAAGGGGCATGTCAACACATTACAATAGAAGCTGACACCACAGAGATCACATTATTTCCCAGCTTCGAGCTGCGAGCTGGAGCCACATAAATAAGTCCTGCGAGAGTCCTCACCTCCGGTGGCCCTTGCTGATGACGGGGAAGTCGGCGTACCAGCCGAAGGCGCCGTGGTGCCCCGTGTGCGCGCCGTAGTCCACGTACTCGTGATCGTCGCCGCCTCCGCCGCCGCCCGACTGCCGCTCGTACCTGTTCTTGGTCTGGTCAGGCTCGGGCGCGAAGCTGGCGTCGTACGCGGTGCCCTCCGTGTCGGCCTCGTAGGAGGCGGCCGCCTCTACGGCCGCCGCCTGCGGGTCGTCGTCGTACCGCTGGCCTCGCTGGGTGGCGGGGACGGCAGGCCCAGCAGGCCCAGCTGGCCGGTGGTTCCGGTGGTGGCCGTGGTGGTGTTGGTGGTGCGGCGGCGGCGCCTGACGCACCTCCCGGATCAGCTGCACGTCCTCCAGGGGCACGGCCACGTAGCGCCGCGGCCGCGCGGACGCCGCACCGGCGCCCAGCAGGATGCCGAGCATCGCCGCCACCACCAGCACCCCGACGCTCTGCGTGTCCTGGAACCAGAGCAACGAGGGGGCAGGGGCAATGAAAGCAAGTCCCGCGGGCGCAGCTCCTTGGCGGAGGCGGAGGCCGGCGGAGGCCCTCCGGAGGGCGGAGGGGCTTGCCCTAGGGCTTACCTGTCGCATGGTGGCACGTCGGCGGCGTCGCGACGGGAACTCCTCGTGGTGCGGGGGCGCGCTGCTTTTATACGGCGCCCGGCTTTCCCTTTCCGCGCCTCGCCTGGCTTTGCCTCCACCGTCGCACCCGAGTCGCATTTACCGCCACAGTGACTCCCGGGTCGACGCACCGCGTTGCTCGCGTACCGCGTCGTGGAGAGCCAAGTCAAGCCACCGCCGGAACACTGCATTGCACTGCATGCACCCCAGCCACTCCCGCCAGAGTGTTGCATTGTTGCATCGTGAGGCAGTGCGGGGCAGGCTCCTGCACTGGGAACGTGTCACGTGTGCGGTGATCTTCCGCGCACTTCCGCGCATCGCGAGCCGGAGGGGAGGGGGTAGAGTCCAGTACCGATCGAGCTCAGGGTACAGAAGTACGAGGGGGTAGCTTTCACCTCCAGGCGTTCATTCGAACTCAAGTCGATTCCATGTCAAAATGCCCCTCGCCACCCCTCAAAATATATGAACTGAATCGAGGGACGCTCTCTGTAAAGGGCTGCTTTGTCGTAAGCGCAGAGTCAAGTTTCTTTTCGTTGCCAACCGTGGCCGGAAGGAAAAATGGCCCGGCCAATTTTGTGTGTCGCTCCAGTGCACCTGCTGGACGGCTGGACAAGGCGGCCCACCGATCCGCTGCACTTTTTGTACAATCGGCGCGAAAAAAAGTGCAGACGGTGATTCGGATTCGGACTCACCCGTATATTACGACGCTCTTGTGTTGCATAAGGCGACAGCGCGCGGTTCGCGCGGTCACCCCCCGTGTCCTCTCTGTTCTCGCGGCGCCACAGTGCTTCTCTCTCTCTCACCCCTACACGACGCCCCATGAGTGCGAGGCAGACAGAGCGACGACAGCACTCGGAATCAGCCTGCTCCCAAACAATGCCCCTGTGGTTTCTGCCTTTCTGCCGGCTTACGCCAAGAACGCCAAGCGCCTTGCCGGTAGGCAGCCCATCGGACACGACGCTCCTCTCGGTTGAGGAAGATAGCATGGAAAGATAGAGAATATACCCGGTGGCGGCCGAAGTTTTCGGCGAAACATGACAGAACGGACTGGACGGGCAGTTTTGAATCACAATATTAAGCAAACAAACAAACACAGTTCTTACTTCATGCATGCATCCTGCATTTTCTCAAGGGATTTCCCTTGTTGACTGTACAATTTCTCATCCTCTCTCCCGAAGCTCGAAGCGCTCGAGCACATGCACATATTCACTTTCAGTTTCAGTTTCGGACGGACATTGCCGCTTGTGCGGGTGTAAGTTTCGACAACATACAGTTGTTTTTATTTCCAATTTTCATGTTTTGGAGTACTGGGGATAGCTGAATACTTTTATGTGCAGTGACAAATATATTTTAAACTATGGTCTTTCTAGTGTAATTCTTATTTTGGAGCAAGTGCATGTTTTATTTAAATATAATTGTGCCGCATCAAGATGGAGCTGCCCCAACCTCCACAAGGTAAATAGTTTAGCTGCTGGTTTCTGATTTTGCGGAGCGATGTAAGACACTAATTCAATACAAACTCTTCACTCGCAATTTTGAGCTTGTGTTTATGTTCAAAATAATGATCCAGTGTCAAACTGACGTTTTATGAAGGTTATGTTCTCTTGAGGTTTTCCATTCTGAAAGGGTCTTCTCAAGATTACTTTATTTGTCTGGCTTCGAAACCTTGCAGAAAATATATTGTAAATAAAAGTAGTTTTGTAATATTGTATAGTTCCTGAGTAAAGTGATCAAATTTTAAATTCTGTTTTCCTATACTGTTCCATCTCTCTGCCTAGATGCTGTTGCTGGCTCTCAATGTATCTATCTTTATGTATTTCAAATTTCAGATATTGATCTTCGTAATATTATTGACAAACTAGCTCAATTTGTTGCTAGAAATGGACTTGAATTTGAGCAGATGACCAAAAACAAGCAAAAGGATAATCCTAAATTCAGCTTCTTGTTTGGGGGAGAACATTTCAATTACTATCAGTATAAAGTTACCACAGAGCAAGCAAGTAAGTTTCTTAATCAGGTCACTTGATTAGGTTTCACTTCAGTTTAGAATAGTTCAATTATTCTCTTCTTTGGCATTTTGAAAGTTCTGAAGCAAAAGAGCAAGCACCATTCTACTTTGCCTGATCTAGCTGGACTTCAACTCCCCAACCTGTCGAGTACAAATGCTACCATGGATTTATCAGCTGCTGTATCTGCGGCTCAATGGCTGGTAAGTCAATTGAAATCATTTAAAATCTAATTTTGATAAATGATTAACCATTTCCTTTTAAACTGACGTATGGTTTTGTTTTGTTAATATTTTAGGCAGCGCAGCAGCAGTCATCAATATCTACAGCACCACCTTCAGTTTCTAACGTCTCTTCATCAACATCAGCGTCTTTAGACTCAATTGCACAGCAAAAGCGAGTTTTGCAAGATCAAATCCTGCAAAGTGAACAGAATCTTGCAGCTCAACATGCGGTAATAACCATCTAAGACGCATAATTTTACAATAAATGCATCAACATTTTACCATTATCAGCTTTCTTTTCCTTGTGACAGGTATTGATGCAGCAGCAACAGACGCAAGTGGAGGAAGCATTAAAAAAAGCCCAAGAAGCTCGATTAGATCAGCTTGGTATTGATGCTGGAGTGCCGTTTGCAGAGTTTGATCAGATTCTTGCACCAATCATTCAATCCTGTACTAAAGATTCAATATCTGCTGGCAAAGGCTGGATCCTTCAGAAAGCCACAAACCCAGCAGCAAATTCAGCTCTGGCACAGTTTCTTCTAGCCAAGTACGTTTTCGTGCATTTATTCATGTGTGATTGGAGTGGTGACTCTGGTGTAGTTTCACAATAATAATTTGAATATTCTGTTTTAACAGGGTTGTAAATGTAGGAAAGGAAAGTAATGGTCCTCAACCCACAGCTAGTCCATTTTCTCAACGACTACATTTAATTTATTTGGTGAATGATGTTTTGCATCATTGGTGAGTTGTCTTTCTGGTGGATTCCCCTTCAATTCTCTTTCTTTTTTCATTTTTTCGTTCCACACAATAGAAGTGGGAGCAAAGTCAGGAGAGGTCTACATATCATGTGGCAATATGTTTCTCCCCTCCCTCAACCCTGAACCCTCATGAATTCTCCCAGTCTAAACTTCCTATGGGCTCAATATAACACTTCACCATCACCTCCTTTCCCCCCAAAAGTGTCACATAATATGTTGATGGCCCGTTAATTGTAACACTAACACTATACTCCTTTTACTTGTAGCGTACGCAAAAATGCTGAAGAACTGAAGAAAGCTCTTGAAAGTGTGGTTGTACCAATGTTTTGCTGTGCGTCTATTGGTTTGCCCGATGATCAAAAGTCAAAACTAAACAAGGTGAGGTGGTCAAACATATGAATATCAGTGGAAGTAGCTTTGATCTTGTGAACTACTGTGGAACTAATCCCAATTTTAATTCTGATTTTTTTTTTTTGCAATCAGCTTCTTAATTTGTGGGAGTCAAAAAGTAATTACCTTGATGAAATCACCATTGATAAACTGAAACACCCCACAAGGTCATGGACAGAGTATCAAACAAACCTTATAGAACAATTTTCTTCTATCATTTCGTCCATTACAACTGCAACCAAAAATACTTATGAAAATTATCAGTCTCAACATCAGGCATTTGTCAATCATGCCCTGCAACAAATTCAGGTATATTTGAATTTAAGCATATTTTCAGTTGTAACCGATCATAATAATCATTTAAAAATGAAACAAGCTGAGCTATTCATAACCAAAATTTGTCAAAGATTTTGCTTTAACTGTTTTTCCTTGTATGAATGAAACGAATTTTTATCCTCTTAGACTCTGGAGCAACAGCAGCAGGCTTTGGCTGTTGTAGCTGCGGTATTGCCATCAACCCAGCCACTTCCTTCGCAACCAGAAATTCATCAACAGTGTGATCAGCCACCACCGTTACTTGTGTCCCATCAGTCTCAGTCCACATCAGCTCCACTGTCCCAGCCTCCTCCACTAATGAACAATTCAGAGTACTCCAATCCTCCAGCACCCATCTCTCTGAACCAAATGCCCCCAGCACACCCTGCTCTCCCAACCCACCCAGGTCACTCAGCCCACCCAGCACACCCCGCACACCCCGCACATCAACCTCCCCCTTCAGGGCCGCCTCCAAGTAATTTCTCTCAACCGCCTCCTGGATTCTTTCCAGGTAGCTTTCCAATTGGTAAGTTTTCCTTTTCTGTAGGAATGCGCTCTAAATGTGTCAGTGGCTGACAGGATTTTTGATCCGTTCCTCTTGTTCTTTTCATTTTAGGCGTTGAGTTGCCAGATTTCAGTCGCCCTCCACCTGGCTTTCCTTTACCTCCACCAACCATCGCACCAATCCAGCAGGCTCCACCAGAGCCGATTGATGATTTGGTTCCAAGTGTGCCCTATTTTGATCTACCAGCTGGTCTCATGGTGCCTCTCATCAAGGTTCTGTACTCATAAATGTTAAAACTATTTAATTTTCTCTTAATCTTGGCTTGTTAACTTTCAGGTTTTGTGTTAAAAATATATCTATGGCTAAAACTCTGAAATTTCTCTTTCATTCTTCAAAATACTGAAAACATGCTCTACTTTTGTTTTCCAGCTTGATGATCATGAGTATAAACCGTTAGATCCGGATTCTATAAGGCTACCACCCCCTGCTCCTCCTAGTGAAAGACTTTTGGCAGCTGTGGATGCATTTTATGCTGCACCAGGTCATGATCGCCCACGAGACAGGTATGCTCTGCTTCTTTTAATTTTTAGCAGTAGATATTTTTTGATAGTACTGAATCTAACTAATGTTCTATCTTAGTGGTCTAAGTGTTTCCAGAAGAATTGTTGATAGTGAAGGCTGGGAAAAACTTGGCCTCTATGAATACTATCGAGCAAAGAATCAAGCCCGTAAGAGAAAAGAAGAAGATATCATTGAAGGCATTAGAGAAAGATCTCGATCTCCCTCACCTATATACCGCCCACCATCACGAGAAAAGTCACCTACACCCAAGAAAAGATATAGAAGGTATGATTTTTTTTCCGCCCCACTCAAATTCATAAACTGGTGACTTTTCTGTGGCCCTTTTTATTCTGATTCATAGCCCTACTTACTATACTTATATATGTTACTTTTTCAACAGTGCATCCCCCGAAAATGATAAAAGTAAAGAAAAATCAAAAGACAGGGGACGATCGCATTCACCCTCTCCAAGTCCTGTTCGTTCAAACCCTAACGAAAGTACAGGGGCCGCCAGTAATGGTAGACGTTCACCTGTGTCTACTTTAAGAAGACAAACAAGACCAACATACAGGCATTCAAGATCTAGATCCAGGTCGAGATCAAGATCTCGTTCCAGTTCTCGGTCAAGATCGAGGAGTCCTCCCAAACAAACTATAGATCGAGACCGCAGCCCTACACCTCCTTCATTTCTGTATGTTCCTTTAGATTAACAAGCTTTTTTGAACCTCTAGGAGTTGGTTAGTTAGTTCGTTTATTAATATAAGTTACTATTTTGAATATTTCAGTGGTTCTACATATGCAAAGGCTACAATGGAGCGTTTAGATGAATCAAATAAAGGACACCAGATGCTCAAAAAGATGGGTTGGAGTGGTGCTGGTCTTGGTGCTAAAGAGCAGGGTATAGAACAGCCTATTTCTGGAGGAGAGGCAAGTTTCATTAATTTTCTTTTCATCATAATTTATTCAGAACAATAGTCTCCTCAGCATCTCGAAATTAGTATAAATTGTAGACATATTTTATAACATTTGCCTACCATGTCTTTGATTCCAGATTCGTGATAGGACTGACATGTATAAGGGTGTTGGTGTTAATTTAAACGACCCTTATGAAAACTTCCGGAAAAATAAGGGTCAGGCTTTTATTTCAAGGATGAAAGCCAGAGCTGAAGAACGAACATAATTGAGGTATTCCATTGAGACTTTTACAAAGTATAGTCCTTTGCATTTTTCATGTTTTAAGTCGGACCGCGCCCTATCTCAACTGCAAAGTATTACCTGCTTTGCTAGAATCCTCAGTATTATCATCCTCTCCTTTTCCCTACCAAAGATGTCTCACTTGTAATTATGAGTTGAGGAGCATTTATGCTTGTTGATGGTTTGTGGCCTGGTGTAGTGGACTGCATACAAAAGTATCTCAAGAGGCCAATAAAAGAGGCAAGGGGCAATGATTTTGATGCGCTGCATTTGCATCCACATCCTGACCCCTCAACCAAGCCACCCATTCATCAACAAAAATAAATGTCCCCTTAATATTTGTTTACTGTTTTGAATTTTTCTAAATGAGAAATGAGCCATGTTTACTGTGGAATTGTGACAGTTGGCTGATAATGCATCTTGACTTAGATGGTAGAAGGATGGAAGACAAAGAAGACCTATGTTTCACTTCACCCTTAATCATATGTTTTGGTAGTACTTTGCTTTCTTTCGCACATGATTTCATTTGAAAAACTGAAGTCCTGAATAAAGTCAGTCCCTTTTTGAAAATTAAAACTAAAGTCTTGATTTTGTTGAAGGTTCAAGTCTGAATTTTCAGCAATGGCTCTATACAAGCTGCATTGGATTCTTTTTTATTTCTTTTAATTTCTTCTGAATATGTTGTACAGTGCTTTTACGAAGCAATGAAACTCTTTCATTATCCATCTCATGAAATTCAAAAGCAAACTCAAAATGCTGAGAGTTTGTTATAACCTAGATATGTGTTGTTCACATTTATGGTTCCTATACATTGTATATTGATAATCAATTTAGTTAGATTGTTACCCCCTTTTTTAGTCAATGTTTGAAGTTTGCTTTAGTATTTTAATTAAGTGCTGTCATCTATGTCCTCTTTTATTTTTACCCTGGACATGTTTTGTTGGCAAACATATTTGCAAAGTGCACCACTGTGATAAAGCACCGCTGTGATAAGTAGTCATAATAACATCCCACTGTCATCTTTTTCCAGGAGCAGGATATTTTTTGACTCAAGAGCAAATTTGGAGAAAGGGGAGAAGCGGGTGCCTTGGTGTTCGTTTGTTCAAGAGGCCTTGACACCTTGGTTTGGTTTAGCCTCTCCCCTCTCTCCGTGTGCCTTTCTTTCATCAAAGGAAATTATCACTGCATGACTTTGACAAATTAATTGCGTCAGTGACCTCATGTCTATTTCCATTTTCGATTGCCTGTGTGGTCCGAATGTCCATTCGGCCCTTTCCCACCCTGTACCCCTGAGAAAGAAGAATATTTGCAATGGTTTTTCATTGTGTGTGTAAATGAAATGAACTGACTCAAGATATGTCTTGTTATCAATAAATTTGTTTTTTTAAAAATGAATTAGCTTTCTCTTATTGAAGAAGTATATCCCTACATGCATCTCCATGAAAATACACTCCAGGTCTAGAACAGTCTTTAAACCCAGCCTCAATACGTCGTAACAAAGAAATTTAAAAAAATGCCCCCAATTACCCCGGTGAACCGATAAACCCTGCTAGACAGTATGATTCGCCGTGATCGAGAGCGTGAGTTCGCCGATTCCAAACTCTCAGATCCGATTTTCGAGTCCCGCCATGACTTAAGATCTTTGCGACACGGTCTCAGGACGGATCCGGCCTGTCAAAGACACCGCTTTGCCAGCCGATGGGAAATGGCGGCCTGTTCTTGAGAGCGATATATCTATTTGTCTAAAAGGGAATGCCCAGTAGCACAGCTTGGCGGCACCTCACTGCCGCGGAGGGGGCGACCACCCCTCCCGAAGGACCCGAAAGGTATACTTTTTAGGAAGATTTTGGCGTCTACTCCCTGAAAGTTAGGCAAAATCTCTCACAGCAGGTATCACACCGCCCCTCCCGCGGAGGCAATCTGTGCACACCACTAAGCGAGGTGGTAGCAGCGTCGGCCGCTGCCCCCGCCCCTCCTCCAGGAGGGAGCGCCGAAATTTTCAGAAATGACGTCCCATGCGCTCAAAAATGTAAATTTGCGTCACAAATTGGCGTTGGCTTCTAGCTCGCTTCGCTCACCTCAAATCTTACTCGGATATGTGTGTCTTTTCTTCTTGTCGTTGGAAGTGAATCAATCTCAGTGTGTCAGAAAGTCCACACCTGGACCCCGAAAAGTGTCAAAGTGGTGACTCCACGAGGCGTTTGGCTTTTAGCTCGCTTCGCTCGCGTCATCCGGTATTGTCTTGGCGCTTGCATGCATGCATAGAAAGTCAATGAAACCTAATGAGAAACCTTTTTACACAATATCGGCAATATTGCCCTTGTCACTGCGACCAAGCCGCGCCATGCCCCGCGCTCCCTTTCCCCCTTCTCCAGCGACGCGACGCGACGCCCGCCTCCCCCTCCCCTCGCCCGGCGTCGTCCGGCGTCGCCCCCACCCTTCCCCGACGACGGCGCACGGCGCGGCGCCGAGTCCTGCCGGCGGAGTGGTGGAGCTGGGCGGCGCGGCTCGCCGGTTCGGTTCTGTTTCGCGTTGCCCAGGGCCCAGGTGCAGGGCGGGCAGGTTGGTTAGTCGCTCGCCGGCGCGCAAGCTTGGACGTTGTGGAGCGGTCTGTGTTCGCGGCGCGGCTCTGGACGCGGTGCGACGAGGTGCAGTGCGACGCGGCGATACGTGACGCGACGGGACGGCCACGCGGCCCGTTGCCTGCGACTTGCTGCGACTGCCCGGAGGAAGACGAGGGGCTGGTTCGGCCTGGTTGGCGGCCGCGCACGCCGCGGGGCTCTGGATAAGGCCGTTCTGGCCGTGGTGGCCCGCGCCGCAGGGACAGGTGCCGGACTGGTGCCGAATCGCGCAGCACCGGAGACCGGAAGTGTGATTGTGAGGCAGATTCGGGCATTCGGCGCGCCGCTCGGGGCCGCTGCCCGCGCTGTCCGCGGCCGGGGCGCTGCGGTTGTGTTTGGAATTAATTCGGCGCCGGGTCAAGGGCCAGGCCGCCGGGCCAGTGGGGTGGAGGTCGCGGCTGACGCGACGCCCTGCTTGGAGGCAACACCACCACCCTCCGCCTGCACCCAGCATTTAAAGGTAAGACCGGCCTTACAGTGTGGCGGCACACGCGGCTCGGCCCCGGGGGGCACTTGGTGAGATTCCGAGGGAGGGTTTCCGAGGGTTTCTCAGCCTGCTCCCAGGGAAGGCCACCACCGGACCCGACCGGACCGGCCCTGCGCGGCCCTTCGATGCGTCACTGATAGCCTCCGCTTCCGCCCCCTCCAGGCCCTAGTCCTAGTGGCCCTTGCCCGGCTTGCCCGGCGTGCCCAGCCCCTTCGCAGGGCACTGAGGGTCGTTTTCGTCGCTGTCTCTCGCACCTATACGGGACGCCCCATGAGTGCGAGGGAAACAAAGCGACGAAAAGGACTTTCGGAGGCACAGGCGCGTGGGGTGGTGTCGGTTACACCGCCATCCTTGCTCCGCCCGGTACAGCACATCACTGCGGGCAGAACTGCACAAGCACTCCGTTTTCCGCCTCGGCCGGCTTCTGTACCGCCCGAGGCATGAGGGGCCCAGCCAACCGCCTCGCCTCGACTGTCTGACGAAGCAGGCGCCGAAGCCTCCGAGTCGTTTTCATCGCCTGTCTCTCTCGCACATACACGGGACGCCCCATGAGTGCGAGAGACAGAGCGATGAAAACGACTCTCAGTCCGCAGGAGCAGCAATGGCCAGTCGTTAGCAATCGGCGCATTCATTCCTGTGAACATCGGCGAGCCGATCCATCCCCTGTCGGCCGTCCGCCTAATCAGCACCACAGCGGATCGCTTCGCGTCTATTTGTACTATCACAGCGGTTCTCAACCTTGGGCGCGAAAAAATTTCGAGGGGTCGCGGCGAGGTAACTGGGGTCGCTTGGGATGGCGGTGGTTTCCCAGCTGGCCCACACGCCGAGCACTGGCGGGAACAACTTTTAAGTTGATCAAAACGGCCACAAATGTCTTTAAAAAATCGTGTTTTTGGCCGACTTTAGGCATCCACTGCGTCTGATCCGAGGCGGTATTTCGTCCTCCCTCAACGGGCAATTGGTCTTTAGACCTTTCTTTAGCATGCCTTTGTTACGGAGTGCGATTATCTGCCTTAGTTTGGGAGCAGTATTGCCGCAAAGTTGATCAAAACGGTCACAAATGTCTGAAAAATCGTGTATTGATCAACTTTGCGGCAATACTGCTCCCAAATTAAGGCAGATAATCGCACTCGGTAACAAAGGCATGCTAAAGAAAGGTCTAAAGACCAATTGCCCGTTGAGGGAGGACGAAATACCGCCTCGGATCAGACGCAGTGGATGCCTAAAGTCGGCCCAAAACACGATTTTTCAAAGACATTTGTGACCGTTTTGATCATTTTTGCGGCAATACTGCTTTCCAAACTAAGGTGAATTATCGCACTTTGTATCAAAGGCATGCTAAAGGAGGGGTCGCGTGGGGTCGTGAAATTTTTCCTGGGGGTCGCGGAAATTTTTCGCTACAAATTTGGGGTCGCGAACCGAAAAAGGTTGAGAAACGCTGCTCTAAGGTGCAGTGTGTCTGGCAGGTACACTCCGAGGTGCAGTGTGTCTGGCAGGTACACTCCGAGGTGCCACGTGCCTGCAGATACACTCCAACGTGTCTCCTTTCCTGTGCCATATCCATTGTGCCCGTCCTGCCTTGCATGATCTCGACTCGATGCCGCGATGCCGGATACGGAGCAGAAAGCGGCCGCGGTGACTGCAGAGACACCGAGTGACTCCGAGTGACACCGAGTGACTGCCCGACAGCGACGTAATGACGTGTGGGGCGGAAGGGAAGGGGCGAGAGGCACGCCCTGGCTGTGGAGGACTAGAGAGTCTCTAGAGAGAGGGAGAAAGAGAGACTCCGGGTTCTCTCCACCTCCCTCGCACCTCGCGCCAAACCGCCCTTCCTGCCCGACATGGGCATGGCGTGTCCCACAGTGTGTCGGCGAGAGGCAGGGCCCGGCAGGCGCGCCAAAAGTGTTGTCATCCGCGTTGTTCGGCGTTCGCAGTGTTCGGCTCACGAGACGCTGATTGATCGGGCCGAAATGACAGCTTCCTTCCCCTTCCCGGTGCGTGCGCGGCGCGTGCGCGGTGCGTGCTGTCACTGTAAAACAATCCCGGAGGCGTGCCAGGCCGTGCCAGAGACCGCGTCATTATTTGGTGGCACAAAGCGCCACGCCTTTCATTTGTCCCACAATGCGAGCGGCCCGTACAATGCACACCGCGCACCGCGTCAATCGCCCGATCGGCTGTCTCTCTCGCACTCATGGGCAGCCCGTTCTGGCGCGAGAGAGGCAGAGCGACGACAACGACTCTCGGAATGAGTCTGCTGCACCCACCAGTGACACGTCTAACTAGGCGGGGGCACGACCTGTGTGCTCCAGTGTGCTCGCCCGCGTGTCCGAAGGTGTCCGCCTGTCTGCCCGTGTCCTGCCAGCAGTCTGATTCCGAGAGTCGTTTTCGTCGCTCTGTCTCTCTCGCACCCATACGGGACGCCCCATGAGTGCGAGAGAGACAGAGCGACGGTCCCGCCCGAGTCGTGATCCCGTCCGCTCATTCCAGCTCATGGCTGAGCCGATTAACGCCCAAATGGCCCTTCCACGCGTATCCCGAGCGGAAAAAATAGATAAATAGAAAGGTGTGTGTTTCTTGATGAGGCGGCCGCTGTCGTGGGAATCGCTGCATGCAGGACGGTCCACAAAGGAAGCGGTTGGCTCAGTTAAGTAATTAAGTTTAGTTGATGCTCTGTTAATAGCAATTATTTGGTCGAATTACCCTGAAAATACACTAGGTTGAGACTTGACAAGAGCTTCTCTATAAACTAGAACCCCGTTTTTTCAGTGTATCTTTAGGCTGTGACAAGTGACGACAACTGTCCAACTTCGCAAAGTTGACACCCAGATCATCCTATGCTAATTTTTTTTCGACCATTATTATTGCTCGATACATTAATTTTTCCCCTTATGTCGCTTTGACGAGAAACAGAGGTGGGAAGGGAAGGCCTCCTCCTCCCTCAGTCTCGTCAGAGTCCGGCCGGGTCGGGTCGGGCCGCGTGCAGTGTGGACTGTGGAGCAGTGATGAGTGGATTTATTCAGCCCGGCCTCCATTGAGTAGGTCAGGCCTGCAGCCGGGCCTGCAGAGAGCAGTCGGGCCTAGCCGGCCGGGCCTTAGCCGGGCCGGCCCGGGATAAACACACATTCAGATTCACACGGCCGGGACAATGGGCTGCCTGCCGCGGGGCTCATCTCGTCCCAGCACTCGGCGAGGGCCGCCATTTCAATCAAAGTTTTGCAATTAGGCGAGATTCAGTAATACCAACTTTGCAATCCGCGGGGTTTTGAATTGTATTTGTCTTGACCGCC